AGGAAAGAGAAATAGAGAAAAGAAAGAAGAAAGAAAGTAAAAAAAAAACGATTTAATTGGTTTTTGAACATTTGAACTAATTATGCACCTGTGACTTATGCAATGAAAACTCAATCTTACTAAATCTATTTATACAATGATTACTCGGTGTGATTCATATGATGCGATGTGATATGGAATCGGCATAAGTTCTCTGCAGCTGCATGCCGAACATACAAACATTTTATTTAAAAATGAGGAGCGAGGGGCACATTTCGCAACATGCTTGACTTTGTGACAATCGAAAGCGTGCTAGCGAGCGAGCGAGAGCAATAAACAATCTTAAACCGAACTAAAACAAAAGAAAACTTTACCAAATAAAACCGATAATTACGAGGTAAGCAAATTTTAGTCAATATAAACGCGTGTGCGTAGGCGCGCGCGCGCAAATTAAATTGCATACGAAAAATGTATGCAGTGTAGGTAGTTCAATCGAACCGTACCGGTTCTTTCTGTCCCATTCTTCCTCAGTTTAAGTTAAATATAACACAAATGAAAACTATACACAGAAAGTTTTTAAATAGTTTTTGTACAGAGACACACATGTCTAACGCGCGTGCTATTCCGGGAAGAGAAATGCTCACAGGAAAGAATACACTTGTGACAGCGACGTACGCATTGTTTTCCTCTTTGCGTAAATTAGCTTAGCGACGGCGTGAGTGTGCCATGCACACGAAATCGGTATAGACACGTGTAGTTGGTGTTGCCATGATTCGATTCGATGCGCAATTCCACGAGATTGTGAGATCGAGGATTCTGTGCATCGTAGTTACGCACTGGGAAATACTGTAAACTCGTGCCATTCTCTAAGTACTCATATTCTCCAAACTGATGCGGCTCACCATCGTTCACCGTCTCCAAACCCTGTGGAATTTAAAAAGGATTTCGGTTAGTTTTGGGGTCATTCTTGAAGATGTAAGCTTCTTGAAGAAAGAGTCCATTAGACGCAAATATCATCCACATAAGCATAGAAAAGTAGAGAATACTGAGTTACACCGAGTTACACTGAGTTAACTCAGTATACTGAGCTACGCTTTTACGCTTGAGAACTCAGTGAGCTATGCTTTTGTGAGTAATCTGAACTGACAAAAGTAGTAATCTAAAAAAATCAAAATCAAAACCAAAAATTCACACAGAACAGCATAGCTTACCCAAACGGTGAATAATTTCGGCGCTGAATCGATACGTCCATTAGGCGCCAGACTTTTTGGTATGTGTTCCATGGTGAAACCAGTCACATAGACATTGTTGTTCAATTTCAGCACGAGATAGCCGGGAAAGCCCTGGAATGACCAGCATTCGCCCGGTTGAACTGTTGGCGAAATTACCGTTCGCGGCGTATTACTTTTATACCATAACGGTATACCGAAGATCGATATCTCGGCCGATTTTACAGTAAAGCTTTCGGTACACCTAGAAATTAAACGAACGAGAAGAGGAGAAAAGTTTCAAGTGTTGATTCAATTTGGTAATTTTTCGGAATAAT